CAACGTTCTTCACTTTTCGAGTCAATGTGACTGAGCCAGAGAGGTTAGGGACAGTTATTGAAGGGTAGTTGAAGTTCAGGAGATTGGAATCTGGAGAACAATCATAAGGACCCTCAGAGAAAAGTTGAATTGCGGTTTGGTTGTAACCAAGGGCACAGAGGAAGTCCAAGTAGTCATCGGTAGCTAAGTCATAGACCAAGCCAGGATCCATGGCACGGTTTGGTCGTATATGTCCACCACCATAACTGAATGGTGTTGCCTTAATGTAGGACGCATTAAGCAGTGGATTCACAGTGTTGTCTCTTGTTCTTGCTGTAGACAAAGGATTAATAAACAATTTCAGCACAAACATCAGTAAACCTATTATGGCCAGTACACCTCTGCTAAATGACATGAAGAACCATGTCTACATTTGGCTGACTGAAATGCTTACCAGTAGTGATGATTGCAGATCTAATTGCAGCGGGACTCCAGTCAGGATGTAGTGTCTTGAGTAGACCCACGACTCCAGCCACGTGAGGGCAAGACATAGAAGTACCGGATTCTGTGTTAAAGGCACTCCTGCGCTTGTCAAATTCTTCATCTGTGGGGCTTGTTGCTTGGGTGTAAGCAGCTATAATATTTACTCCTGGTGCAGTAATATCAGGCTGAATATCAACCCATAAGTGGTCACTTGTCAATTACACAGTGATATAGGAGAAACACCAAGAAAGGGAAACACAACAAATTTCCAGGTCGAACCTTGAGAATCTCTGGTGTAACAATATTTGGACCCTTGGAGGAGAAAGAAGCCATGAATGGAGCTGGCTTTGTGTACACCTGTGCCTTAGGAGCGGTAATAAACCCCATTGGATCACTGTCAAAAAATGGCACCACAGATTTGATAAACGAATTTTCAAGCTTAGAGACAGAGGAGAGGCTGGGAGGGAGGTAGAGAGATATACCTGGTAGAATTGATGTAGGCATAAACAGCAAGTCCATCTGTGTAGTTTAAATGTGATGCTGGAAGAACGTGAGGATCAGCAATAATTTCATTACCGCTGGACTCATCATTGCAAAGGATCATCCCGGCAGCACCAGCAAGATAAGCCTGTTCGCCCTTATCCACTCTTGCATTCTGCCCCCTAAGACAAACCAAGATCTTACCCTTCACTTTTTCGGGGTCCAATGTTCCTCCCTTACAAAGCATCCTGCATAACACAAACACATTCTGAGTCACCTTCATTATTTTTATGAACTCAGAAAGAGTTTGTTCTTACGCCTCTTCAGCTGATGAATTGGGAGCTTTAGCCTCTGCAGCACTAACAAGCGGATAGAATTTATCTTTGGGTAATGGTTTAGACAAGCTTGTTCCCTGGTATCAAGTAAACAAGAAGAAACAGAATCTAATGAAAAAATTTACAAGTGGCAAAAAAAAAGAAAGAAAACATTATGTAGATAGATAGCTGAACCTGTAGGTGCAGTCCATTACGGAGTTCAACATATGCTCGGAACTCGCGGTCTATAGTGCTGGCTCCGACAGTTATAATCCAGGGCGCAACATTTGTCACAGTTCCATCCTTGGGTCCAGAATTCCCAGCCGAGCATATTACTACTATACCATTCTTTACAGCATGGAACGCCCCAATTGCAAGGCCATCATTGAAGTAGTCAGTAGGATCCCCGCCAAGCGACACAGAAAGCACATTGACACCATCATGTATGGCCATATCAAAGGCCTTCATGATATCAGCATCGAAGCATTCGCTGCCATTTACTGGAGGCCAGCATACCTTGTATGCAGCTACTCGAGCTTTAGGTGAACCACCTTTTGCAGTTCCATTTCCCACGCCGAATACACTTGCTCCTGGAACGAAGTTTCCACCAGCAGTTGATAGGGTGTGAGATCCGTGTCCATCATAGTCACGTGCAGTGTTCAGTACTGAAGAGTTGAGTGAGCCGGCATAGGCAGCATAGCCCTTGTTGAAATATCTTGCTCCAATAAGCTTCCTGCAAAAAGGTGATCAAATAGAAAAAGGATAAAAAGCTTAAGGCCAGGTTCTTTTTTCCGGTTAGATTGTACATCAACTACTGAGCGGATCAAGTAAATCCAAAAGCTAACAAATGCATTATTAGTCACTTTAAATATTACTCATAATAAAGATAAACTAAAGTTAGAATAACATGACAACAGTCACTTTAACTGTTTAGGGTGGATCACTTCCCCCCTTGAAATAATGTGGAGCCAGCGACTTGATCATTATTGCAGGAATGCTCATTATTATAAAACACTGCAGTCAGAAATTCAACACCTTCCCAACCCATCAATTAAAGACGTTCCAAAAAGGGTGAAATAAAGTAGTTACAATCAATCATGATACTATATTTCCTCACCAATAAAAGAAGTGGAATTACAACATTTTGAAGCTTTATCACAAAAACCCTTCTCGTGCTCGATTTGTAAAGTTGAAAAAAGTACATTGTTTCATCTATTAAAGGCTGCTTTTTAGGGCATTCACTACACATGCACTATATTTGAGAGTAAGACACCCTACTGTGGCATGAAAGGATCACACTAGTACAAGGGTTCCTATTCTCTATGGTCACTATAGTCGCGTTCGTCTTCTGTCTAGAGGCTTGATACAGAACAAGTTCAGCAATGCTTGTTTACTAAAAAATGATGTATCTGTTTCTCCCATACAAATAATCGACAACAAACTACAAATAACCCGGTGTTGTTATGTGCAAGATATTCTATTAAAAGTTCAGTTACTTCTGCAAGATTAAGTTCATCCAAATATACAGAACTAGTAAGCTTTGGCGTGTTATTAACAAGGGGAAATATCTCGTTACTACTTATCAAAAAGAAAAAATATCTAGTTAGTTTTGGATAACAATGATCATCAGCACATTGTTATTATTACTTATGAAAACCGAAAAAAAAAAAACTAACCTATTGCAGTGGACTCCGGCACTGGTGTCATTCTGACAGATTCCTTTCCACTTTGATGGAACAGGCCCCAACCCTTTATCGCTAAAGCTCTCTGATTCTGGCCAAACACCTAGCAGAGTCATGAGAAATTATTGATCTCATGTTTAACTTAAAAATCCGAAGGCCAATATAGAATCGAAAATAATATTGAGCTTTTATAAATATATATTGGAAAAATAGGCGCAAAAAAAGAGGACAAAAAAGTTTACCAGTGTCAATATTTCCAATGATGGTATCTTCACCAAATCTGGCCTTCTTCCACAATGAACTGGAATGTATCACACCATTCTTTTCCAGCAAAAGAAAATTCCACGAGTGGGTTGTGTGTAATTTTTTCCCTTGATTTAAGAAAACAGACACCACGCTCGGATGCTCTACATAGATGGGAAACCATGCTTTCTTTTAGTACACTAAAACTGGTTATATAGCAAATAGAGGGAATAGAATGTTGTATATGCAGTCTGTCATACTTGCAATCTCTGCTGCATCCTCTTCTTCAAGAGTTGCAGCAAAACCATTGATGTGTCTTTTATATGAATAGAATATTGCGTCTTTGGCCTTCTCTTTACTGCATGAAAGCAATTTCAGCATCTGTATCCCAGAATAATGGACTAAAAGAAGGGCACTGATAAAAATACAATACACGGAATTCAATACCTTCCCAAGAATGAGCCAAGAAACTCATAATGAGAATCAGTCACCCGATGAAGATCAGCTGACGTTACTCCTGGACCATGTGAATGTGCTCCCAAGTAAACTATGTAAGACTGTTCAGGCACCCCAAAGAAGAATCAAAACAAGTCCAGGCGAGGGAAGAAAGAAAGAAAACAATTTATCTTCCTAGTCAGCTCAGCAAAAAAAAAAAACAAAAACAAAAACCAAAACAAAAATTTGCATGGCAGAAATTTTTTATCATGTAGAATGAAGAAATTGAGACAATGTGTTACCTTTCTGATGGCTAAAGCTGGTAATTGGAATAGAGAGAAAAGAACGAATAGTGCAAGGAAGACTGAAAACTTTGAAAACAACATTGTGCTTTTGTCACTGTAAAAGCCTGTGATAGTGATACTTTATATTTATATTGTGCTTAATAATTAAGCACCCTATGCGTGAAGAAAGAGAATCACATATATCTCTTTTTATTTCTTTTCCAATCCCCTCCAATTTAATTAAAAAACAGAAGAAGTAGAAGAAGAAAAAGATCTGGACTCTGTTTCCGAGGAGGACGTTAGGATAAGATCAGGCAAGTGGAAGAGTCCTAAACTATCTAAACTCTCTCTCACGAAGAGACTTCCTTTAATTTTGGAAGGTAATGGTTATCACGAAGGGACTTTCGTATGCTGAGGAAAGAGAAATTTTTGGGTTCAAAAGGAAAATTGTTGAATCTCTTAAAAGTAGCTAATAATGATCTTTTTTTTATTACATCTTTTACGAATTATTATTTTCCTGGATGGAGATGCATAGCATGGCAATCATTGTAGAGATGATTTGGATATATACACATGAATCTATTTAAGATTCGAAGATTGAATCATAACAGAACGAAACATTTAATAGAGAGGACTTCTATTCCTGGTGGTGTATGAGGAGTCTGTTGACTACTACGTAGCTTGTTGGATAGTTGAGTTGTGGATGGGTCATTAATTAAATGCCACACAGGATTTACATGAAACCCAAAGCCAACAAATTACATGGAATTGCAGTTCTACTTGTACTAGTATTACTTGTTGCTCCTGGAAGACATCTTGTTAACAACCAGTTGTAGCTAGCTAAGCTCACCCTTACTGATAATAACCTTTTCCAAAAGGAGGTAGATGCCAATTAAATGAGCAACTCTTCTTGGGCACTTGGACTACAATCCACAATTGGTAATGCTACTCCTTACGCAGTAGTGCACCCTCCATTTCACCATGTTATTATTCTATACATTTCCTGACCAAACCAAGCTCAAAAAAAAGTCTAGGCTTATCAGAAGTTAAATCAAAGAGGCCGCTAGCTTAAGCTTATTATTCCCCTTCACTAGTGCCTCTTACTTCATAAAACCCCATTCAAGCTCTAGCTGGCCAAGCTCCTTCTTCTCCAGTCTTTCAAACATGGGGGGATGATGATATTTAAGTGCTTGAAAAGATGCTGAAGAGAACATGGTGGTGTTCTGATTGGAGAAATGAAAGGCCTTCTGTTCTGCTTCAATGTAGGCATGCAGCTAGAATATTAATCACTCCCCTTCTGCTGTGCAGTGCAGTAATATTAGGATGAAGGAAGCAGAAGTAGACATAAGGTCACACTAGGGAAATCTAGGCATAAGTGTGGGGGAGGTTCTGATTATTAGCCACCATCTTAATTGTTATAACCTAATTTAAGTATAAGAAGCTCGTCATTTTATTGGTCATTACTGAAATGAAATTTTCCTGCATATGGATGATTTACGTTGTCCTATAGATATGGAACAAGATGGGAAGACCATCCACTTTGTCCTATAGCTACATGTGCAGTTGGAGAAAGTTGGATTGGGGACGATTGCATTATTTGCAAGCATTTGGCTTGGAAGCCTGCGTGAGCAACTACCTAAGCTCTTTTCAATGAAGATGAACCTATTTAGAATGAATGCCCTTTGTTCCTAGGTAAATAAACTAAGTTAGCCCTGAAGAAACAAGGCAGCATGTACGAAAGATGGGTGAACCATTCAGGTCTTGGGAGTCTCTATTATTCTAACTAATATAAAACCTGGCAAGCTAGCTCGCAGCAAGACCTAAAAGGGAGAGAAATCTGGTGGAAATACCTCTTTTTGGAAGGAACTTCCTGCAGATATCCAATATATGAAACATCAAGCTCCTATCCTCACACAGAAAAGAGCTATAAAGTCCTGGTTATCCTTTACGCATGCAAGAATTAGGGGGTTGCAAAATGTGAATCAGTTTTCTGCGTTCCTTGTGTTCTTAAACTTACAAAGATACCAATCTGTTGCGAACCACATTGAGGATCTCTTTTGGAATGGCTGGAGCATTCTTATTCTCTTTTCTAAAAAACCTATTATTCCTTTCCCTCCACAAGCTAGTACACAACGGTCATAATGAGTCCCTTTTCAATTGCAAAGCTACCTAAGCCAATTGGTGTTTCTACCAACCTATGATGGGTTCCGGCAAAGCACCTGGTTTTGTTTGTAAGAAGCATGAACGGACAGGGAGCTCTTGCTGATAATGTTCCTGCAAACAGAGTTGGACTATGCAAACTTAGAATAATATGTGGTCTAACACTATCTAAGTATAGATTGAAGCTCATCCTACCTATAGGTTTTCCAAATACACAAGCTGGTACCAGTCAACAAGTGGTGCATGGTATTAAATTTTCTCGGCAGAGACTGCAGTAAACATGACATTGGCTGTAGGAGTTGATCTAATAGTATCTGCGCTCAAGGGTTTGGATTGGTAGCTAGGCATTGAAGCCTTGATTTCCATAATCACCGTAGAACCTGCAGGCTGCTAATACCACTGGTTGCCATCCAAGATGCTACTGATAAAGAAGGTTACAAATGAAAGCAATAACCAGAAAGAAGTATCAAAAGAAAAGCCAATGATAGAGGAAGTTCAGGCCTAGTATAGCTAAGAGCACACCTCTAGGTCACATTTCGTAACAAAAAATCCAAGACCGTGACATCTTCATAGCGACAGATTCTTGTCCATGTTATCGTGCAAATACTATTGAATAACACACCAACATTTTAATTGTTCTGCGCCATGGTCTATTGCAAATGACTTCTTTTTGAAATGCTTTTTTTCAGCTGCAACCTTTTGTTTTTATGCAATTGATGCTTTTAGCCAGATACTTTATACTATGATCGATTGCTAATTACACTGATAATGAAATTGGCAAGGTGTTATTGCTTCATTTGGATAGGAACTTCATATAATAGTTAGAAAAACTCAACATGTTATCAATTATAAATGAATGAATATATTGCCTTATTTGTGTACCAAGAAATATTTCTTGGTAAAAATTACATTTTTTTTCCACATCCATGAAAAAGAAACTCACCTAATAACTCTCTGGATGAAGGCTGTTCTGTTTCCAACAAAACTTTCCAATCACTAAAGCTCATACTGTAATATGGTCACTATTAGAAGCCACAGCTGTGCAAAATTTATATTTTTCCTACAAAATAATTTCCGTCTCATGAATAAAACTCTACAGGATGACCAAGTTGATTATTGCTTGAAAGCAGGTTAGGAAACAGATGGAAAATTTACATCAATTGCACGAAATGGCACAGCTCCCTAACATCTGTACTAAGGTATTTGTAAACTTTTCTGAAGCAGGGAAAATAAGACTTGTCTTATAGAAAAGAGAAATGCTATTGAATCATGACATAATGAAAAACTACAAAGATTAAAATCTTAATAGTCACGAAACTTTACCGTACTAATATTTTGGGGTAAAGACAATCGTGCAGTATCTAGGGTAAACATAGCAATTTAATTAATGGGGCCTTCCTGAACTTCGGAGTCTGTTCTAGTAGATGCTCGTGATGCTTAACAGATGTATTGCTTGCATAAGGTATATGTCTACCAAGTCCTGACCACAGCCATTCCCATAGCAGTTTAGAGCTAGTCAACGGGCCAATAGAAAAGCCTCAACATGCCGGAATCAAGCCAAAACTATATCTTAAGGACATTAATTGCATGAATATATATACTAGCCTCGAAGATGTGTGGACCATTTGAGTTGGTGATAAGCTTTTGGTCAGTGAGAAAGTACTCAAGAACTTTGTAACAAAAAGTGTAAGATCAAAGGCTTAAAGGTCCTTTAAGACAAGCTTGGATGGCTTCATCTATTGGCTAACACGCATCAAGGGATAGGCGTTGATTCTTTTTGTGCTGATATGGACTTATTCTATTAGTGATCGATCATTTGTAGATAATAGAAGCCCTTCATTGGAGAAGAGCCAAATCGAATTAACAAGTCTTCCTTGGCCTTGTATTTTGTGCCGTTTTTGGCTCTGTCCAGAACCCGTCCAAAACCGGCAAGCATTCTGGTCATTAAAAAGGTTTTGTATTAACATGAAGTAGTTAAATTAATCATCATGCTGTCATAATTAATTATTATTAAACAAGCATAACTTAATCACAAACAGAGAAAGAGAGAGAGAGAATATGTACGAATAATTTAAAATAAAAAAACAGAATGAAGGGATCAACTTCATCTCAGGGAAGGAGAGTCCAAAATTTCTTTCCTGCAAAACCCAGGCAACTATGGCCATCTTCATTGGAACTATTTGTTAGAAGGAGGTCTTACCTGCCGCCTTCCCAACAACTTGTCTATCTTATTTCTGTGTATCTTCTATTGTCCTAGGTTCCATTCCTTTAGCGCTATGACAATTCTTAAAATTCATTTAATTATGGCCTGGTGGAGAGAGAGTTGGAAAGCTATATATACGCAGGAGTGTGAGAGCCAGGACAGAACATGCAACACATGCATAAATGCCTTATTCACTCCAAAAAATAGCTGGTTTATCTAATTCTAGCCCTGAAAAAGGTTTTAGCTGTTATATTCTTCCACCCGTCCAACTGAAGGAAACCTCCTGAAGCGNTTAATCACAAACAGAGAAAGAGAGAGAGAGAATATGTACGAATAATTTAAAATAAAATAACAGAATGAAGGGATCAACTTCATCTCAGGGAAGGAGAGTCCAAAATTTCTTTCCTGCAAAACCCAGGCAACTATGGCCATCTTCATTGGAACTATTTGTTAGAAGGAGGTCTTACCTGCCGCCTTCCCAACAACTTGTCTATCTTATTTCTGTGTATCTTCTATTGTCCTAGGTTCCATTCCTTTAGCGCTATGACAATTCTTAAAATTCATTTAATTATGGCCTGGTGGAGAGAGAGTTGGAAAGCTATATATACGCAGGAGTGTGAGAGCCAGGACAGAACATGCAACACATGCATAAATGCCTTATTCACTCCAAAAAATAGCTGGTTTATCTAATTCTAGCCCTGAAAAAGGTTTTAGCTGTTATATTCTTCCACCTGTCCAACTGAAGGAAAGCTCCTGAAGCAAGTGATTCTGTGTTATATACATATATGATCCAAGAAGGCCTCTTAATTATATGTGCTGAGCGCTANCGTCCAACTGAAGGAAACCTCCTGAAGCGAGTGATTCTGTGTTATATACATATATGATCCAAGAAGGCCTCTTAATTATATGTGCTGAGCGCTATAACTTGGACCCACAATTTTTTTCAACCTTATGACCAGAAGCCTGTCGTTTTATTTCAAGTTGTCCTTAAATGTTCTAACTACGCAGCTTTTGTAAACTTTTGCAGGCTATGAATATGAAGCAAGAGGTTTAAGCGGTGGACCACATGGTTGTCTATTATGATTTGCCTGGCACCCTGAATGCCATCTAAGAAGCTTGTCAAGATTGTTGAAAACTTTCCTAATTGGCATGAGGGGAGTCAAGCAGGCCCAAACACAGACAATGGCGCCGCCCATCATATCGTCTGGATTTCTATATGTTCATCTGTTCTTTGCTACTAAGCCATGCACTTTATGTTGCTTTGATTTCTACTACCAGAAGCACTAAAAATCCTTATCCACTAACTAGAAAAGTTTAACATTTTGTAATTTTTCGGCAATAGAAATTAAGACATTGATGGCCTCAAAATCTGAACTTGCAAAGATAAGGTTTCTTATATACGCGCAGTGACAAATTTGGATCATTCTCTGTCAACAGATCTGTTCATAGTTTGATAGAAATGCCCGAAAAATAGCCCATTGTCCTGAAATAATAACTACCAAGTTACAAAGTTAAAAATTTTATCGTCGGAGCTTGTTTGGTTTGGAGAGGATGCTGTTACTACTCCTACTCCATATTAAATGGAGATGATGATATATAGGGGGTGCTACTGGTACTGGTATGTTGTGCTGCGGAGGAGTTAAGCAGTACCCAACTTGATTGGAGACCCCCATATATAGTCAGGCCCAATTAGAATTAGATAATCCTAAATTTGGGGCTGGTGCCCTAAGTAACAGGCCCCATTGTCTGTTTGAGCTACATAACAAGATGCCCAATCTTTTTTTTTTTTTTTTCCTCATCAGACTGTGTCGCTCGAATAAATCATAAGCAGTGCCCAAGCCTCTCCCCAAATCAGCTGTCCTCTTCGTCGTGTAGAAAACCAGTAGAAGTCGAAGTCCTCTTCGATGACCCATCGCCATCGCCATCGCCTTGCCATAACCCCCGACATTACCTCGCCATAACCATCCACATCACCATCATTGTTCAATCGACATCAAAAACACACACCTGAGGAAGAGAAAACCTTGTTTGGTATTGTTGCTACTCAATTTCACCAAAGATGTTTTTTTTTTTGCCCCAAGTGGACGAGTTAGAGCAAAAAAATTCAAAAATTTGGTTGTTTATGTGCAAGCCTTTTTCTGCTCTATTTAACATGATTATTTGCTTTTGGATTCTTGTTTGTTTGATTGGGAGATTTGGATAGTTTTTAGCATAAGAAACGAGACATGAGTTTGTCTTTGATGCTCCATTTTCAGATTTTTAATTGTTCTTGAAAAAAAAACATGGGTTTGTGGCCATGGGTAATGGGTCATTTTTAGATTCTCCATTATGAATTTATTAGAAGTAATTCGTGTCTGAAGTACAGTGCAATATGAATGATTTTGAAGAGACGTTGGTGACCGTTAGATGAGTCTATTTGAAACCATCAGATGTACTTATTAAAGCATATCATGTTTTATATTATATATATAGACTAGTTATTTTATGTGTCTGAAGACATATCATGCTTGTGTGCCTCTCTCTATACTTAATTACTTCATTTAATTACTGATTCTTTAATAGGTGATGTGCAAACCCAATTTATGCATCATCAATTGTAAACACACTAGTTGTGAAAATGAAGATACCTTAACGACAAATAATCCAACTAATAAAAATGTAAAGTTGTGGGTGTGTATATATTTTCATATATGTATATGTGTGTACATATATCCACATTTTTTTTATATTTTTTTATGGTATGTATATATATATATATATATATATATGTGTGTGTGTGTGTGTGTGTGTGTGTGTGTGTGCACATATTTATAAATGAGGTACTATAAAAAATAACTAATAAAAAAAATAAAGGAAAATTATAACCACACCTCCTCTAGTTTACCATATCTTCAAGGACACCTATTTTATTTTCTGAATCTTCAATGATACCCACTATCAGATTAAAAATATTAACTAGAATGCAATTTTACTAAATTGTTCAAGATATTTTTGAGGTCCATCCACACCCTCTCTAGATAAACATATCTTCAATGACACCCCTTTGTTTTTTAATTCTTTTTACGTATTAAACTTCGATCTGAT